TTGGTCAAAATAAAGACCGATAAGCAATTAAAATACTCATGTGAAAAAAACAATTGATACATATTATTTGCTATTCACATTGAATTAATACAATGTACACTGTGAAGCGTAGGAAAGGTTAAAAACTCAACCACGAGAAGAATAATAGTTTGAGAGCGTATTTGAAAAAATATTAACAAAATTATTTCCAGATGGAGGAAGAAAATGTAAAAATCCAGTGAGATAACAACAGCCATGCCAAAATTGACTAAAAACCGCTGCAACTTTACATAGAAATAAGCAATTAAATGAAAGATGACAGAAAAGCACTGCCCAAGTTAATAGGGTATGCACAAGAGTCCGCATGTAGCTACATAATATCGGACAATCAAAGGACTCGAGATAAAAGCTTCAGAGGCAAATAGAAGCAAGTTGAAATCACATGTAGAAATGGCGTAAATGAAGTTGCATTAAATAAGGAGAAGACAACGAGCACATCTCTTGAAATCGTGTTCAAAAGGATCAAGGCTCCATGGAATTGGCTGGAAGTTTGGCATTCAGTATACGGGCAACGTGATCGATAAACAATGGAGAGGAGAGAATACTGACGTGTTCGCAGCCAGGCAGCACGATGTGTTCAACCCTGGGCCAATTTAGACATACCCGCAAGCTTCGGAGGTTCACGGTGCCATCACCATTACCAGATAGTAAAGAGGGCACTTGGTCTGGAAAAGGTCGGCGGAAGAAGGAAGCGGGTGCATATACAAGAGTCTCCATGGTTGTAAGGTTGGAGCCATACAAGCAATATAGCTCATCCACTCCAATGGGTGGCTCAAAGCCGTCTACGGAAGCCTTAGTGTCTATGTACATCTGATGACCTAAAAATAAACAGTTTAATTGCAATTATATAAACAATTAATGAGTTCATATCACTAGACTGCTTTTTTATTGAGTAATAAAAGGTCAAAGCGCTGGAATTAGCCTTTGAGATGTTCCGTAATTGCTTCTTCCAAAACTAACCTATATATAAGAAGCCAAACTGAAACCATATTTATTGAGTCCATTAAGAAATTTTAAATTATTTCACCATCACCACAAACTCTTGTGTATTTCTGAGTTTAAATGTGAAATGATAAGTGACTATTATATCCAATATTGAAAGCAATGATAAAATATCCCATTTGAATTAAATTGAATAACTAAATCGTATTTAGTTTAAATAATTCGCAGACACAAATATTCATCATGATTGGGTATAAAAGCCGAGCTAGTCCCTGCAAAGAAAGATGACCATATAATGCA